AATCAAACAACAATCCACACAAACAGTCTCCTGAAGTGCAGTTCCTCTCAGTTGCACCGTGAGAGTGAACTCCAGCTCACCTTTTGTGAAACGGATGAAACGTTCATGCCAAATCTTTCTGCTCTCTTCTTCAGCTGATCGACGTTCACCTTTATGAAGACGCAGAAAACAAACATTAACATGATGTGATTCACTGGAGGAGAGAAGAGATGTTGAATAAAGGAGAGGCCGACTCTACTGGGAACACTTACAGGAGCTTTACTGTTTGCAACGACACCTGTGTGGGAGACAGATGGATTCAATTGTGGATGAGAAGCAGAATTAGAAACATTAGAAACATGTTCAATGTTGTCAAAGCATTTTGATTTCAGAGGTTTTTTACTTTTTACATCATTGTCTAGGAAACTGGGAAGAACCAGCTGCTCCAACAGCGGCGGCTAACTTCAACTTTTCAGAGGACCAAGATGTTCACATGCTATTAATTCATTACTCTTGAAGACTCATGAAAAAACTAATATATTCACTAATATAACTGCTCTGTGATGATTAAATGCAACTCTTTGATGAGCTCGATTTACAGAAGTATTACACTTGGAACGTGGCAAAAAAAGTTTAAGTAGTCCGATTTTTCTCTGTTTCTGGCTGATGGAAACAAACCGATCACCTGATTTGTGTATTAAAGGTTTGATGGGAAATGAAGATCCTGTTGTGTTCTGGGATTGTTTTTATACCAAGGAACAAACAACAAACATCTGTTTATGAGCCTACACCAGACAAAGAGTGACGTATTCATGGGAAACTGTTATAAGATGACATGAAACCCTTCAACCTGACTTCTCTAAACATTCCCTTTGCTTCACTGAGAACAGAGTTTACAAAGTTTAGTAAGAGTAAAGAGCGACAGCGGACCTGGAGAGGGGGAGGTAGCTTCGGCCGCTGACCCAAACCTGAAGGAAAGGAACAAAAATCATTCAACATGACAATAAACTGACATTTACTTAAAGTGTTAATCCAGTTTCTATAAACCGGGATATTCATTTAGAGTTCTGGACATTATTTCTAACAATGCATCTTATTTTTTCCATTTCATTTGTGTCTGATGTGTATTATCGTATCTATTGTGTTCCTGTAACAAACAGTTTCCTCAGAAAAGGGACGCAGGTGAACTCTCACCTCGCTGCACGTATGGCCTTTTTGCTTTCAGCTGTTGCCGGCAGGTTGAAACGTTCAGCTCTCTTCTGTAGTCTCTGCTCGAAACAAAAGGGGACAAATCAGAACTGCGATGCTTCAAAAAGGTTTAATATTAATACAAATATTAAAAAAGGTCCAGTGTGTCACATTTAGGAGGATCTATCAGCAGAATTATAATATAACAGGTTTTCATTAGTGTGTAATCACCAGGTTTTATTCGCCTGTTTGCTGCTTGACTTCAGGCAGTAATGATTAATAAAAGATTAAACACAGAAGAGGTGAATATAACGAGTATGCATTTTGAGTAAAGTACAGGTCATACGTACTTCAGTGGCAGACGCCGGAGGAGTTATTTTCACCACCTTCTTCTCAGTAGGCCTGGAAGAAAAGACAACATGTAAAGAAGTGCAGTCTTAAAGAAAAATAAGAGTTTAACCATCAAACTATAAAGTAACAGCAGTCAACGTCAGACAACCTTATTAAACTTTAACAAAACGTTAAACAATATACATATTAGTGGTTTAAATTAAACTAAAAGCTAAAATAAAGCTGAAGTGCGTCATACGTGGCAATCAATATAATCTATAAAAATAACATGTTGTGGTCTCAACTCTGTTGTAGCTGCCACATTTAGGGGAATAACTCACAATTAAAACATACTGGACCAACGTGACAAACAACCACTTACGTCTCGCCCTCAGTGGCAGACTCAGAATCCTTGTCGACTTTTACATCGTTGACAGTCTCGACTTTAGTGAAGTCCTGACAGAGAAACAGGAAACATTCGTCATTATCTCACAGAGTCTGAGAGGAAGAAGAGGAAGATCGTAAAGTGTTAACAGTACCTCTGTATCCTCTGCCAGCACGTCGTCCACGTCCACATCGTCCTCTGGTGTCACGGGATGAAGAGATTCCCCACAACCAGGAACCAGAATGCAAACGGGGCAGAGAGAGAGATCAGCGTCACAATAAGGACATATGAAGAAAACAGAAATTCATCCACAGAAACTGACGGAGGAGTTTCCTCTGCCTCATTCATGTAAAGCTCACGTTTCTACAGTGTTGGGAGGAACGCCGTTTGAGTATAACGGCGTAATGAATTACTTTTCCCTTCGTTGCAGCGCCGTTACTGAGAATGTAAAGTTACTACAGTTTGGTTGAATGAAGCGGTGTCAGGCTTCACCGGGACCGAAAACAGTGAAAATGAGCCAACGCAGCACCGTGGCGTGTGTACAAGTAGTCTGAAGTAATTTTATTTATTTGTATTTAATTTTACGTCTCAGGAAATGTTAAGTTTGAAGTCATTTTATTTATTTTTATTGGACAT